TTCCATTGGCGGTGTCCCAGTTACAACTGCTATTTCTATGGTTCTTCTAGAGTAGCCCTTTTCAGGTCCTGCCCAGTTGTTCTGGTTTTCCCATGTCCTCATTCAGGATCTGTACCAATTCTACTGAAAAGAATCTTATTTCTCCTTGGACTTTCTTTCTTCCCAGAGGGGTTAGGTATGCTTCTCCATCAACTATATTACCAATAACAGTCCTAATTTTCTGCCCCTTGTCCAACATCCTACCTTTACTATTTCTATATTTGATCTTCCATTTTTTGTGTATTTAATTCAGGTGAAAAAGTTATGTAAGAGTTTTCCAGATATTAAAGACAGGAAGTTTATATACATTCATACACGTTTATACATTTCACATTTATACCATTCAGAGATACATGCTGTATATGTTCCCTTGTCTAGCTCTAGACACATGTGTATGTGTCTCCTCACTTCTACAGTATCTGTGAGTGTCGTGGCCTTTTCTGTGTTTATCTACCCAGTGCACCCCAGATGTAAAAACATGGCATTATCTCAGTTTTACTCAGTGTGGAGCCACAAGGGTGCAGATCAAGTTACAGAGATTCTCTGTGGAATAGGGAATTTCTGCCTCCTAATTCATGCTCTCTGTTGTTGCTTTAGTGCTTCCCCACTGGAATGAATAAACTTCTTAGCTCCTGGGGAAAAAGAAATAAAAGAACCAATAATAAGGGAGGAAACATTGAGCTTTTGGGAAAATTCAGAAAGCAGTTCAAGTCCTAAGTGAGTTTGGAACGGTCTTTTTTTTATTCTGCAGATGAAACCAAATCCCTTTTGTTCCTTTTGCATTTCTTCTATTGCAGGGCGGGGTGTGGGGGAGGTGCAGGGAAAAGAGAGAGCAGGAATTGAGATAAGATTGTAAATGAAAAGGGAGTGGTGCAAGGCACGGTGCATACGGGAGGTGAATAAAATAACAACTTTCAGGAGACTTTGCCAAGCTAGTTTTCCTGCAGCCTGTTGAAAAACAAACACCTGAAGAAGGTTCAGGCTCTCTCCTGAACCTTCACCACAAATACCACTGCAATGCTGCTGAGTGTCTTGCCTAAGAAACATATCTGAATGTTTCTGGTTTAATTCAGAACTGTATTCTCCTGCCTAGCCCTTGAAAACCAAATTTCTAGGAGGTTTTAGTTTTCCATCTCTTGAAAGTAGTTATAGGTCTTTCCAGATGCTCTTGTGTTTTGAAGTCCTACTTTGCCATATTAGGAGGAACTCAGGGATTTAGTTCTGCCTTTGTTGGAACAGATGATTTTGGAAATTCATGGGAGTAGCTTGTACTTGTCCATACTACCCATCTGGGTAAGGATTTTGTAAATGGTAAGACTGGGTGCTGGTCATTTGAACAGGTGGCTGCTTTTGCCAGTGTAACTTATAAGACAGCCACTGAATGAGACTATCAGCTCCTCTGTTAAAAATATCTTACTGACCTGATAACACTGAAAAGAGCACATGTAGGAGAATAAGGAAATACACTCTCTTGGTATAAATTGCAGCAAGAAGATTTAGGTTAAACATCAGGAGAAAAACCTCACTTTTTAATGGGAAGGATAGCTAAGCACCGGAATAGATTGCTTGTGGAGACCACGGACTCTCTGTCAGTGTAGGGACAGGTTAGAGAAACATCTGCCACAAATGGCTGTTACAAGCCTTCTCTTCCCTTGGGAGGAGAGAAAAGCCTCTGTTAAGAATTAGTTTCAAGGAACTAATGCGATGCACCTTTCATTAAAGATGCGCATTAACATACTGCAGAACTCTTTTATTCTGGCTGCATTATACCGCGGTTCAGGCAATTTGCCAGCTGGCTGGAAGGCTTTCAGAAGGCTCCCACTTGTTTTCCCCTTGCACAGGCAATCTCGCCTTTTGTCTGCATGGGATAACTTATATGCTTAGACAAACAAATAGCATATGTCATTACCTTTCTGTTCTGCAATAATTCTCCCTTTCTTTCTTTGCAAATATGTTGGACTTCTACTTCCAACCTTGTTATCCAAAATAGGATCTTATATTTAAGGTAAAAGTTAGCTACTCACCTCCTTCAACACCTTCAAATTCACCTCCAAGCCAAAGTGACTTTACTTTCTTGACAAGATCAGATAGAGCAAGGGGCAGTTAAGGTGAAATTCTGTTGCTTAGGAATTATGTCCTGGCATAAAGTAACATAGGGATTGGAGAATATGATTAGAAAGGAGTTTTTATAGATTCCTAGTATCTTTACTTTTACTGATTCTGTGGCCTTTCAGGGCTCCTAGTGGGAGTTTGGATGACTGGACTGATTGGAGAATACCCAACGGGTCTTGAAACTGCAGGGTGACCAATATGAAGTATGCCTGGGATAGTTTATTTTTCCTCTTTTTGCTGAGGCAAGCACGCATCAGAACCCAAGTAATAACAGTTCGTAGGCTGTTAATACAAACTACCCTGAGACTTCAGAAATGCCTTGCTCTGCTCCGCACAGCTCGGTAGTTTATATTCTTTAGGCGTAGGCATCTTTACCTGGACAAATCTCTGACATTTAATTCTGCTAACTTCTATCCCTGAAGAGAATTGCTCCTTCCCTATATGGCAGATTATCTAGCATATGATACACATTTGTGTATTCTTTATCTTGCATTGTCTCCATCCTCTTCACATGTGGTGTTTATTATTGCCCACATGTTGCTTATGCCCATCCTTCTTTAACTATGTGCATATATATTTGACCTTTGCATACATAAGCATAAAGAAGTCTGCCCTCTTTTAATTCACTATGATTTTCTGACTTTTCTTATTCAGATCTGTACATGTATGGAGTTATAAAGCATGTCTGATTGTTTAGGTTAGCAATCAAATGTAACATTTGCACATATTTTTGAGACAATCCATGGTTGATTTGGAGACTTAGGTCAAAACATTTACTTGCCTCCTGTTTTTCTTCCTCTTTGGACAGTTTAGAATTATTTTATTGGGATAATAAGGAATGGATGTGTACTACTGTATTTGCAGGTGAGGTGGTTTAGTGCACAGAAGGCTGTGGCAATGCTGTCATTGTTATCCTAATTTCATAATGTTTCTGTGTAGTACAACACTGTGAGACGTGCCTGGCACACAGCCTTATGAAATCCCCTTTCTGTCCCAGAGAACTTCTGGGTAATTATGGGTTGGGTTTGCCTATCTGATCTAATTTATCACTTAGGGGGTTATATCATGCCTGTTACTGAGATATCTAAGTGCTGCTGAGATTCTGCGAGATGTCTCTTTCATCAGCCACTTATTTCTATGATAAGTTAATGTTACTGAGCTGAAAACCGGGCTGTTCTGTGCAGCATCTTAATCACTGGTCCCTGCTGAGCCCCGTGTGGCAGTTACTACTTTTGGGGATTTGAGCTCAGTTACTTGAGAGCTAAAGTAGCACTGCAGAAATCTCTGGCATAATGATGATAAATTGACCTGCTTGGTGAATGAGTGGGAAGTCCAGGGCTGAGCAGACCCTGGATAAGCATGTGAGTCTATGCTCTTTATTCCCTTAGAAATTCACATCCAGGCTTAGATATTAGCATGAGTACAGAGCATCTCCATGGGTGGAGGGAACATCATGGGCAAGCTCTCCTTGGCATTCTTTGCCTTTGGGAAGGCAAGACCAACTGCCCATCTTTTTACAACCCCCTTGCTTTGTGCTCATTGGGGTGCTCTGTTCACCCTGCACGGGGAGGGTGGATGTAGAAACTGCTGTCTCGGGGTGATTTCTTCTGCCTTTCTTCTCCCTCCACAGCCCTCAGAGTATATTTTTCTTTCATGGCCAGATGAAGTGTTTGTTTGTTTTGAAGGTGACAAGTGTTTTATGTGGATTCTGGATACTCTCAAATGCCAAACCCCAGCCGGGCTTTGAGTTTCACAGATTATCCACTGACACCTAATGAGCCTTTAATAAATGTTTCTCCCTCCCATTCTGTCATTTCAATAAATAAATGACTGAAATTTGGGGGTTGTGGGAGGGGTGTTGGATTGGAGTGGAATGAAGCTTTTCTGTTTACCCACCAAGCAGGTACACCACTAAGAGCAGTCATGCAAACTTCCCACACACCCACACTGCCTCTGCCATCGAGTCAGCATGTCTCAGTCCTGGCCTGGAGGACTTGCTTTGAGGATCATGCAGGAAACTTCTTCTAAAGCCCAGTTAGCTTCTTCACCCTCTCAGCTTTGGTTGCCAGCCAAGGTGCTAATTACTGTCAACTGTGATGGTGGGAGGGGGAATTGAGAATAAAGGCAAGACTTTGATAGTTGAAAGTACAGTTGATGTTCAAGTTTTCTTTTTTCCCTGGATGTTTTTGGGGTTTTTATTTGGAAGAAATGGTCTGCCTGGGCAGTGGGTGAGCTTGCATGTATTGTCTCTTTAAGGACCGCAGTGGCTTCTAAACAGCTTTCATTCTTAGCAGTAGGTACAAGATAATTGAGTCCCTCCCCCTTTTTTGACTACTGAAGATATTATCTCTATTAATTCAGGAAATGGAAAATTAAGTATTATAAAATTGTAATAGAAATTTATGGAAGTTATGAGAATTAGGGGAAAATAGAAAGATTTAAAAATCAACACAGGTACTTTTTGGTATTAATTTTCATGCATCAGAAATGTAAAACAATTCCTTGTTTCCAGCTAAGGTATGTAACCAAGTCATTGTGTTCCTGTTTTTTGGCTGAAAAAGTTGAAGGACATAAGTCTGACCACAGTTACAGAGTTCCCATGGTTGTCCACTCACTCTCCCAGAAGGTGAGACCATTGCAGAGATGAGACAGCTCAGAGATATTTCTTGTTCTGCACTTCCCTCTTCTTTGAATCCACTTACTCAGAGCCTTCTCCCCAGAAATGTCTCCATCTTACATGAGTCATGAGTTTGGGTACTTCAGAATGGTCCTCTTACCCAGTTCTGCAGTAGCTGTGCAAAGAGATGACACAATTACAAGTCTATCTTCTGTGGTTTGTGTCTCCACAGGTGGGCAAATGGAAAGAGAAAAAGCTGCAGATGAAGTATTATGTGTGGCCACGCTTTGAGCTGTATCCTGACTCTGAGGAACGTGAGGACGATCACCTGAGTATCGTGACCTTGGAAGAGGCACCATTTGTCATTGTGGAGAACGTGGACCCCCTAAGTGGCACCTGCATGAGGAACACGGTCCCTTGCCAAAAACGCATCGTGACTGAGTACGTACCCCTGTATTCTTCTGCTCATCTGGGGCTTTGGTCTCGGCAGAATATAAAGTGTCTGTTGGGCCAATATCATCATAATCTATAATCCTTTTTCAAAAATCACCTCCATTTGCCCAGCCTGTCCCATATTCACTCATTACGAGTCCCTTTGGGCAAATCATTGTGTGTGTCCCTTCACCCTCCAGCACAGAGAGCACAATATACATTGTCCACATTATATAGAGGAAGGGGGGATGCAAACTGACAACAAAGCGGAATTACAGGTGTTTCTCCCAGTCTTTTAACCCATTTTTTTAAACCATCACCTATTATTGTGATTGTTCAGGAACAAAACTGATGAGGAGCCAGATTACATGAAGAAATGTTGCAAGGGGTTCTGCATAGACATCCTCAAGAAAATCTCAAAGTCTGTCAAGTTCACCTATGACCTCTACTTGGTGACTAATGGCAAGCATGGAAAAAAGATCAATGGGACATGGAATGGAATGATTGGAGAGGTCAGCAGCAAAGAGAGGGCATGGTGGGCTTCAACCCTGGGCTGGGTGGTATGGGTCAGGTCTAGCCTCCCATCATTATTGGGTCCACTTCTGAGGCAAGGACAGAGGTGACTCTAGAAATGACTGGCCTGCATTCTTTCTTGGCACTGAATGAATTAATTTGCTCTGACACTCTGACCATGACAACCTTTCTTGTCTGACCATTAATTATTATTCTCTATGGTCTCACAAATTTGGCCTAGACAGTCTTAGAAAGAGGCTGATATCCATTCACCATGGTTGCTGCAATCTAGATTATGCTTAGGTTGTATATAAGGAGAATAAAGAATGAAATAAGGCTTTGCAGTGTTCGAGGGAGGATAAAGCAAGGACAGAAAAATGAGATAAGACGTCTTCTCTGTGGATGATGTGTTTATCCTAAGACCTCTGTGGATTTATTTTTTGTACACATACCAGCTTTGAGGAGAAGATTAATGTCTATAGGTTTTGTGAAAGAAGAAGGTGTCCTGATGAAAGATTAGAAAGGAGAGATGTTACAAACAATATAGGGAATGGGATTACAGGAGTAAAAGGATTGTGTTGAAAGGCAGGAAGATGAGAAGGGTCTTGGCTGTGGTGCTTGAGGGCTGCCTCGTGTCTGTGTGTGATCTCTTTATTTTCTTCCTCCAGGTTGTCACCAAACGGGCCTATATGGCTGTGGGATCCCTCACCATTAATGAGGAACGTTCAGAAGTGGTGGATTTCTCTGTGCCCTTCATTGAGACGGGAATCAGTGTCATGGTGTCACGTAGCAATGGAACTGTCTCACCTTCTGCCTTCTTAGGTATTGTTTCAATCTAAAATTAAAACTTCACCCAGTGGTCATAAAAAAATTAGGTGAAGGTTGCTTGTGATTCTTAGCCTGAAAGCTCTTTTTTGGGAGTACCTGTGGGACAGGTGTATAAAAATATACTGTGATGTTTTAGAACTGAATCCCAGGCAAGCAAAATCCAGGCAAATGCAAGTGCAAATAGGCCCTGCTATGAGTTCCAAGCCAAGGCATTTTTCAGCAAACGTATGCCTAATCCTAGAAAAATTGGGCTCACTCAGTTGTCACATACACCGCAGCACATGATTTCCCAGTGACTCAACTAATAGTGTGTTCAAGGAGTGTAGGCCAGAAGTAAATTGATTCAAACCTTATAGCTGGGATACCGTAACACTTGGTGATAGCAATTGGCAATAAATAGTTGCACATTGAGAGACATTATTTGTAAAGGTATTGTTAACTTGGCCCTTTCTTGACACCTAGTAGAAGTTAGAGAACTAATAGACCTTTTCAAGAACAGTTGAGCCATCAGTTCTGTGCTGACACTGTGTCTTGCAATAAAGACATTTCTAATGTCCTTCAGTGATGGAGGGTGATCAGAGAATAAGGAAATGATACTGCATTTCCCCAAGACATTCGTGCCTTCCTAGTGTCTACTGTTTGCCTTTATAAAATGCTTTATTATGCTGCAAACACAGTATACGAGCTATGCAATTACTGTCTGCTCTCTGCCAGAGTCCTGAGAACATTCACAGACAGAAATACTTTCATATGGGTAATGAATTTTCCCAGACCTTTTTAGATATGAGTTTCATGACTACTAACTCTTCAGGAGTTTTTTCCCTTAGCAAGTCCACCAATATTGCTGTGGTACGTAAAAGCAATGTTAAAGTTATCTCCTAAGTTCTAAACTGCAATTTAACTGAAGTTGCAATATTGGCTATACTCTGGAGCAAAGTTCTTTGTCTCTTTGATCTGGTTCAGTCCTATCTTTTTCTGTTCAGGCTGGGAGAAGGAGAAAACCTGGCAGAGATAAAATACTTGCAGAACATGAACACTAACATTTCTAGAATGAGCCAGTGTTCCCATTGCTAGAGGGATGGAATACTAAAAACCTACTGTCATTATGGCTGAACCTCAGAAATTTGGAGATGCTCTTTGGCTCGATAACATCTTGAAAGTTGGATGCTTGTCTGACACTCTGCCAGTTCTGCCTGATTTTCCCCACTCTCTCCAGATGGTGCTGGAGGACTTCCTGGGAACAATCTTTTATCAATGTGTTTTATTTTATCAATGCATGCCACAATGGCTGTGTGTGGTTCCAGATGGAGCCATGTGTCACAAATGTAACAGTACGATGGAATGCAGTCATTACAGAGACAGAAACTTCAGTTTTTCCAGTTCAAGAAGTTTTCAGAATCAGGTTGAAGACTTACTTTTAGCTTCTGCTTTTCCCCAACCCAGTTTGCCCCACACTGGTCTTCTCTGGGGAGCAAAGGTGGTGAGGTGCTATCAGGTCTTTCACCATGGTTTTCTCTTCCTCTCCAGAACCTTTCAGTGCTGACGTATGGGTGATGATGTTTGTGATGCTGCTTATCATCTCTGCGGTGGCTGTCTTTGTCTTTGAGTACTTCAGCCCTGTGGGCTATAATCGGTGCCTTGCTGATGGCAGAGGTAAGGAGAGCTGTTTCTTGCTATGATCCCCTCTGGTTTCCAGTCTGTGTTTGTTTGTTGGGGTGTTCCTTTGCCTTGAATGCGATACGGATCTAGCCCGCTCTGAGCTCTGCATTCAGACTGAAGAGGACAGGGATGGAGGCGGAAAAAAGGCTGTGAAGAGAGCAGATGTGTATAATGGATAATTTGCTTGGCATGAGAGATGGAGCTGTGTCGCCTTTCATGTCTAAAGCACATACCAGCTCCAACTTGTTTCTCATTGAAGGAAAATGGGCCCTGGTAGCCAGTGCTGGCAGGGCCTACAATGCTGCACTCTGAGGCAATCACAGGGCTCAGCACTGTCAATCCATCCTTCAGTGCTTCATCTCCCTGCAGAGCAAGTCACTCTGCTGGCCTCCTGGCATAGTGCTGTGTCCTCCAGAATCCACATCTGTCACCTGGCCGGGTCCTTCCCTGCCTTTTTGGCCTTCTAAGACCAACTGAGAGAATGGGAAACTCATTTTCTTGGGAGTGGGTAAAGAATTCTTTTTCAAGGGCAGCAGGAAATTTGGGATCAAGCAAGTGATCAATTTTTTTGGTTCTGATCTTCAGAAGGCAGACAGATGAATTAAAGAAAGGCTGTCTGTCCTTCCTAAGATACAGCCTTTTCCCCCTTATTGACATGGAAACAAATAGCAAGCTGAGTCTTCTGCCATCTGCATATCTTCACCCCCTGGTGAATCAACCTTTCTGGATTTATTGGTTCATACCGAATAGTGGGAAAGAGACAGTTACTGGAAAATGCACTCATTTGCTCTCAAGTCTAGTGCTTTGAGTAAGTTTATGCCATCAAATTAGAGAGGAGTGAAAATAAAAAGTGTTAATGAGAATGCAGGCAGAATCACATACATGAAGGAGTGGAGAACTTGTCTCTTAACATAGAGCTGTGGAGGGCCTTTGTGGCACCTGATCATAATTGCATGGATCTGTGGGCACAAGTACTGAGAAACCTAAGTCTCTTAGGAGGTATTAATACAGATGTGGAGCTGGAAGCACTTTTTAGTACAGGCATGCTGTTGTGCAGTTGTTAAGTTAGCCGAACTGCAGCTACAAGTATCAATATTTCTGAGTAATTATGGAGAGTATTGCATTATCAGACAGATATTATCCCTGAGAGATAAAATATGAAGATACAAAAATCTGCTGCAGAGACTGCAATGCTGATTTTGGTAATGAAAACCCTGGCTAATGTTACTTTGGTGGCATTTGAACTATGACAGTACGCCCCTGACAGTACGCCTCAAACACCTGCATTTTCTCTTTACGGACATCAAGACTTTTGGATTGGAATGTCCCATTACAATCTTGTTTTTTGTCTGACAAAGTAATGTGGAAACATGTGGGGTGATCAATGGAGAGAGGAAGGGACTTTTAGAAGGGAACTTCTCAAGATTTCCTTCCACCATACAGTTCCGACTGATGTTTTTCAGGCCTTTCACCTTTGTATCTTAGGGCACATTAGTTAGAGAGAGATGTAAAAATACCACTCCAGCATGTAAAAAGACAAAGACTGCAAAACTATGTTTCTCTTAGGAACTTTATCTCCCTGGAATTTAAAAGCATCCATTTACCAGGTGATGAGTCTGCTCTGAACTTGGTGTGCAGTTCCCTGGGTAAAAAATGAGCCCCTTGCATTGTTCAGTTATATTTAGGGTAACACAGTTAGTGTTTCCAGATGATCAATGCTATTCGCTGCTCGGAGGTTTAGAGAGGTGTGTCAAAACTTTCTTCCCTTTTGCTATTTTGCTGGAGTCAATCTGAACCACAGGCAATCAGCCTGCCTGAGGATATAAAGCGTGGGATGCTGGTCAAGTTGGCACCACTGGAGAAAGAACAGATGCTTGAACCGTTCCATTCATCCTAAGAGGATCTTCACAGTGTCCGAAGAGTGATCACATAGGCATTCTCCCTCTCAGCTCTTCTTGTGCTCAAGTTGAGGAAATTGTGGGTTAGGTTCCCACTAATGGAACCAGCACGTGCTGGGGTTACAAGATTGCTGGGAGACAGGTGCCATTTCACATGTTTTCAGATTTTGTGCTTCATTCGCACACATGGCTTCTGGGATGTGACTGAACTTCCATACTGAAAAGTGAATAAAGGGAAAATAGGATCTGCTCCTGCACTATCTAGGGCAGACCTGCAGATTTTCTTAAGGTGAGACAAGTATATATCACTGTCATTTACCTTAGATACAATATATGGGGAGAGGGAGCTGTGTTCTTCTCTGGTTGTGGATCTTCAACAGGCTGAGTAATGAAACATTCATGCAGAAGTATTTGTAGAGCCCTGTTATTTCAGATGGTGCTCTTCCTCATACCTTTACAAGTACAGTAAGGAGAGCCATATTTTACACAGATGTATGCTGTGAGTTTGAGGACATTACTCTTGAACAGATGGAAATGAGTATAGAATGTTTCTGAGCAAATTCTGTTTCTGGGGACAACACTTCAACCCAAATTAAATGTTTGGTCTTCTAGATACTTCAATCAAATAAAAAAAAAATGTCCTTGTATAAGGTTTCAGTCTAAATTCCTGAGACAGAAAAATATGGGAACCTAAGGACACTTAAAAAAAAAATCAGGTTGTACTTAGCTGTGATATGGTAACATGAACTTAGGGGAGTGCAGCTGCAGATATTCACCTCAAAAGTGGGAATAGATTCTGCTCTTAACTCTGAAATGAAGATGTGTATGTGACTGGAAATACAGACCACTTACTCTCAGATGCTCACTGTGGGATCATGTTTCTCCATCACTCTAGAACCAGGAGGTCCCTCTTTCACCATTGGCAAAGCTATCTGGCTGCTGTGGGGGCTGGTGTTCAACAACTCTGTGCCAGTACAGAATCCCAAGGGTACCACTAGCAAGATCATGGTGTCGGTGTGGGCCTTCTTCGCTGTCATCTTTCTGGCCAGCTACACTGCCAACCTGGCTGCCTTCATGATCCAAGAGGAATACGTGGACCAGGTGTCTGGCTTGAGCGACAAAAAGGTAATTTATCCACCCAAACCCTCAAAGCAACCTTTTCCACAGGATAGGCTGCTCTACCGTCTCTTCTTTCCTTTCACAAGGAAAGTGGGCAGGTGTTTTCAGAGTAACATCATCAGAGCTTTAGACCCTAGTTTAAATAGCACGGCTGTTCTTCATTGATATTCAGTTGCACTTTTACATGTGTTAAGCACTTCAGGAATGAATTATAGACAGAGCTGACCTGTGCTTGCTTGCACAATCCCAAGCCACATCTTGACTGTCAGCAAGAAACAAACTAATGGAGCTTTGGAGACAATGTGTATAATGGCTGTAACCTGTTTTTTCAGGATTAAATAATTTGTCTTGGGTAGGAATGCTGGTCATTAGGCTAGCAAATATGATCTGTTAATTTATTCTGAAAACAAGTTCTGTCCATGGGGGTAAATCACTGTGCCTTTCATGATTTACTATTGCTTGCATTTGAAGTTATACTGTTGTTTTTTCAAGGTGCTTGGAGGCTTACCACAAGAAACCGTTTTGTCTTCAGACTGCATTTCAATGTCTTGTTTATCTGCACAGCATTTTGTCCATGCAGAGCATTCACTTCTGCTGGACTCTAAACACTTGAGGATTTTGAGAAGATTGCTGATACTTGCAGGGTAGCACTGTCTGGCTCGTGAGGGTGTAATGCTTTGTGCATTCCTTTACTTTTATTTTGTGGTGAGGCTACTCACAAGGAATTGTGTATTGTGAGTCTCATGCTGAGCTTGTTACTCAGTCTCTGGGGCTGCTTAAGTGGTCATGCCATTGCAGGGCAGCCAAATAGCAACGGGTTGCACATATTGCTATGGAGGTTGCAGCAAGAGGAGGACTGCAAGCGTCAGTTGTGGCTGCTGGGTTGGTTATAGGTACTGACTCCTGTGTCCATCATGACAGTATAGAAATTATTTGTGGCCAAGCCTCCTGTGTATACTGTGTCCTGTTCAGTGGGCTGGAAATTCTGTGATTCTGAGATTTTCTTACTAATTTTTTTTTTTTTGTTTTTTTTTTTTTTTTTTTTTCCTGGAATGAAACATGGCACAGAATAATACAATCCATGCAGAAGTGCTCCTGTTATTTGTTTTAATTTTGACCTCAATTTGTTTCACATTGTCTCCTCATTTGCAATATGCTGGGTTGAAGATGGGGTGGATGGGAGGATGCTTTTCTGTCAGGTGGAGATTGTTGCAGAGACTCCTTAGAAGATGTGAGCTCTAACCTTCAGATTGAAAGATACTGTTCAAAATCAGCCAGGCCTATAAGAGGTAACATTAGCTTGTCATCATTAGGTTTTCAACTATCTGAGCTAAATGGGATAGTTTGTACCTGTGATCTATTGTTTCAGGCTGTGCTAGGCTCATGGAGAGAACATGCTCTCACGTTTTTAAAGATATTCTTCATACCTGCAGAGATATGTGCATGAAATATCATTTGAAAGCAGTGACTCCTGGAGCTTCACAGAACCTTTGAATACAAATTTCTAGGCCTGTTTTAGTTGATTTCACTGTAGGGCCACCTGTATGTATTGGATTGAGGCCATTTTCTTCTACTTTTCTCTGCCACCGTACCTGTATTTACTTTTGCTATGCTAAAGCATATGTGCTTTTTTCCTTGGGGAAGAGAAAGGCTGTAGTACATAGAGGATTGTGGTATGCCTCAAACGTAGCTGCTAGTGCAAGTGCAATATTTGGGTAAGATTACAATCTACCAGAGCATCTGGAATCAAATGAAAATTGGCTGGTGAAACTGAAGGCCAACAGCTGCCTTTGGGCAATAAAAGCAGGTGGGACTAAATCCATCCAAAACAAAGTGAGTGAATGAGCTTGATCTACTGGGTTTATGGATTTTACTCTCTGAATATGCAAAGGGCCCTGTAGGATTTGTGAGCTGTCATCCAGACATTTGTCACAGTGCTTCAAGATCCTCTGGTTTGGGAAAATTCACTCTTCTGAATCTCATCTTTACCTTTTTGTGAAGCCTGCACACTGCTTGCAACTCACTGACCCTCTCAACGCACTGCTTGGCCAGGATGAAGGGCACAGCCACATCCAGGCCACATGGAAGTGGCCTGTGTTCTACCTCACTTCTGTTGCCTGCTTAAAGTCAGTTCAGACTTTCAAAAGAGGCAGTCACTGGTCAAAGCCAGGTGGGAAAGACTCTTTTCCAAGAGGAAAGATTGTCGCTTCCAGTCTCTTTTATCCCAAATGTATGACCTGGTGTCCACAGCAGAGGTCAGGCAGATTGGTCTCCTGGCCTTCTCCATCAGCTGGTAAGGCACCTGTGTCCAGCACAAGGACTCAGCAGATGATGTAATCCAAGCCAATCGTCAAAGTGACAGTAACAAAATTATATTGTTCCTACTTGCCTAGACTCAGATCTACTTGCAAATATCTCTGTAGTTCTACAGTACCTGGGGAAGGTGTCCCACTGACACAGTAGAGCAGCCAAAATGCCAGATGCACTCACAAAATCCATTCCTGTGCCTGGCTGGGGTGCACTTGCCAAGGTCAGGCTGGCTACACTCTACAACAGCAACCCTCTCCTTGGACCCTCTTCCTTACGTTTTGCCTGGGAAGAATTACTGAAAGGGATGCCTACAGCTGGTGGCATGCCACTTCCCCAGAAAAGCAGACTGAAACGCTCCAGATGTCTCAGGATGGTGGATGTCTCTTGGATGATGTCTTGGCTGCACCCCAGCATCTACTTCCTAATGGCATTCAAGACAATGACTAACATCATGCCCCCACTGTGCTTCTGTGGATGCTTGAGCATGTCTGTCTGAGCTGGGCTGGGTGCCTCTGTCCCAAGATGCTACCAGGTTCAACAGAGGGTGTCTGGAGGACCCCTGTATGAATGTAGGGACCTCTGCCACTCACTCTCTGTCCCAGGTGATGCTCACCTTGCTGAATGCCACCCTTTGAACATAGCTGGCTCAAAACAGGTGCCAGAGTTGGTGCAGAAACCCACCTTTTGATGGCTGTTGGTTCCCCCATGTTAACCTTGGAATCTGCTAAATCATACATCAAGTTTTAGCTCTTATCTCTGGGGCAGCCATGGGCAGTTTGAGGGAGGAGAAACCTGCTCCTACCTGAAAGCAACACTGGCTTTGTCAGTTCTGCAGGAAAAATCCTGCTGTTGACAGCATCTCCATTCCAGCTCCCTGTACTTGGGGCATGCTGAACCACTTTCCTCCTGCGCAGGTGCCGAAGCAGCACCTTCCACCTCCACTGGTCCAGCTTGTGCAGCAGAGGGGCTGGAGGTGGTCCTGGCAGAGCCACACTGGCCATGCCAGCTCCCAGCAAGCCCAGCTGGAGCATCTTTGCACGTGCTGCTGGGCTGCATCCATCCAGGATCTGTGTGGGGGCTGCTGCTGCCTGAGCCCTGCGAAAGCCCCGCTGGTAAGAGGGCCTGTCGCAGAATATGCAGTCAGCTCCTGGGTCTGGATTCCATCTGAGTGTAATCAGAAGATATAACCCAATTTCCATTAGTGGGAGAGCTTCAGACACATTAGAGAAACAAGCGCCTGCGGTATTTCAGTCTAACGAAGGCAATAAATACAGGAAAGATTATATAAAATGAACTAATGTGTGAAGTAATCTAATAGCTATACGTAATTTCCATTCATATAAAGTAGTAATAGAATAAAAGCAAATGTGGACAGCCAGCAGGGCATTTAAATAAAATGATTTAGAAGGCAGTAGGTTAATAATAATAAAAAAATAGTATCCTTTCCTATAAATTAGTTGCAAATGCCAAAGTTAATACAGTATCAAAATGGTAATTTGTAATTGACGTGAAAAGGAGAGAAATTGATTTCTGCATGCCTGCAAATTAATATAGATTGCTGAAATTTCACACGTATTTGACTTATTTTCTTTTTAAGATGTTAATGCAATGTTGAGACACATGCAGCATGGGTCAGTTATTTTTTCAATAAATATGAGTTTATTTCTTTTTTTGAAAGGTAGGTTTCGAAGTTAAGAATGGCCAGTATTTTTATGAAAAAAAATCAACTTAAGGAGAGTATAAGAAGGGAGAAGGATTTTCTGATATTTTCAAAAATAGCTCATTTTAGTATACTTTATGCAAAATACTTTGATATTTCTGACATGTATTTTGACATGTCATTTTCTAAAGGCACCACTCATAAAACTGACCTACATTTAAGGGGGAAAAAATGGAAAAAAGATATTTTTTTTCTGTGACAAAGGAAGGGGACAGACAGAAATAATTGGAAGATGAAACAACATAGGTAGATCTGAGGTGAATGGGTGAATGGAACATTTCAGGTTGATACAAAACAAAAGCCTCACTGAAAAACCTACAGAAAGAGAAGGACCTGCTCTTTTCTGGCAGTAATAGATGCTTGGCTGTGAAACTGAAAAATGAATTATTTCCACCTTGTACTTTGCGGCACATTAAATCGAAATTATACAAGGAACCCAGATATGCAGAAGACTTAAGCGTGTGCTTAACTTTGTGCTCATGAGTGGTGACATTAAAGTCAATGGGCTATTTTTCACATGATTGAAGTTAAATGCTTCCCTGAGCCTGCAGCTTTTGTACAACAAATACCTGTTCTGGAGAAGTCCAGGGAAAATGCAGAGCAGATACCTTCAGCTAGATGTTTTTCAAGAGGATTAAAAGTGAGGGTCAGTCTTGTGCCTTGTGAGCTCTACAAGGGGAAGATTGTCTAACTGGGTGGCTTGGAGGCAGTACAAATCTTCCACGGGATTAGATATTTAGTGTTAACTGGCATTTGTGGTGCTTCCACACATTTCAGCAGGATACAAAGAAAGTTTTATGTGGCAGTGTCCATAGGCAGAAAGTATGTCATCTTTCAACAGCAGAATGGTTTTTATTGTCAGGACACCTTTGTGGAGGTATGAGTTAGGCAGACAGAAGAAGGGCCATGCCACTTCCAATCCTCTTGTGATAAATCACAACCTTTTCCAAAATGCATAAATATGATACACCTTACT